AACCTGCCCGGCTTCGCACATGTCTATCAATAAAAAAATGAGATCAAATCTTTTTCTTTTTTTAACCATATTTTTTACTTTTACATACGATTTAAAATAATTCTTTGATACAAACTTTATCCTGAAAATTACAAACACAAAAAATAGACAAATAGATACAGTCGTTCTAAAGTAATGCACTTACATATATTCGGCAATTGATATTTATTTGTATAGACGAAAAACTTAAAAAAAAAAATTAGGATGTTAAGATTTGAACTAATCAATCCTTGAAATTTTTGAAAATTTTAAAATAAATTAAACTCCGTACTGCAACAGAGATACTATATCTAAAGTAATATATTTTATCCTAACTTACCCAAGCAAACCTATAAAATGCAATAAGCTTATAAAACAACACGAGTCCATTAAAAGATTTGCATTTTACAGCAAACTAAATTTACTATTCTAACTTCATTTCTGAACTAATAATAACAAAATAGAGTCTATAAACTCGGCAAGAAAAAACTTGTCATTACTGGAAGTGAATTTACCAGAGGGAGACTTTGTAGAAAAGTCGTTTGCTTGGGCACCTCTGTCCCATTCGTGTTTCTACAATGAACCAGTTGTGTTTGTATGGCTGTGTTTCGGTTTGAAGGGTAGGATATGGCATCAAATTTACTATGTTGCATAAAAAAAATACATATTAAAGATATTGTTGACTCTGGGTTCTAGCCCAGAACTCATTTAAGTGGGACAGTTGTACCCAGAAATGCATAAATATGAGTAACATACCTTGATCTAAAAGAGGATATCACTATTAAATATTAATAAGTCCTTTGCATACTCCAGTATATTTTTCCAGTTATTTAAAAAAAAAAAAACATTTATATTGCAAATTTAATGCTACTCTAAATCTGAATATTCATAACTATGAGCATAAAGGCGTGTTTTAAACTAGGATGCTTTATGTTTAAATATGAAGCATAAATACAGTCTAAATACCTTATGGACGCTATACAAAAATTGAGTAAAATAAACAATTATATACTGAACTATCGGAAACGATATAATTTATTTTACAATTAATTTAATTTAACTTTTAACACATGTGTAAAAAAGATCAGTAATGATTAAGTGAATAAAATCCTTGTCACTTTATAAAAAATAACAATATACCTTATAAACGAGTGACAGGCCACCCCGTCCTTATCCCGTGGGTATCATAAGAGGCAACTAAGGGAGTGCAAGGGATGGGCAGCAGCGTCCCTCTTTAAACATATACAAGACATAACTGCGGTTGCCAATCTGCCTGCCAAGCGTGGTAACTACTGACATAATCCCCCATGGGGGAGGTTTGTATTTAGTAGTTAAAGGCTGATGATTATGAGAAAAAAAAACAAAATTATAACATGCCTATTGACCAGGAGTATACTCATATAGTTAATATCATTACAATGTAACTTATAAATAAATGTAACTTTGTTATATTACATGACCATGTGTTTGCATTGCAATGTAGTTAACGTATTCACTAGTGTTGCTCGTTTCTGAGCTGTTAAATTACACGCAAAGACTCTTAGTGAAAAATACGCACTCGTACCTGTAAAGGCGGAATTATAACAAACGAGCGAACACTATACTTCTCACATTTGACCAATTTCTGTTTAGGGTAAACGTGCGTTCGCGAACAAATTTCTGGAACGCTCTTAGAACATTCATTTGTACTTCGAAAATCTCAGATGAATTACTATAAATATATAGATATGGCAAGAGCACAAACGCGTTCGTTAGACGGAGCGGATGTCATGGCAACGTTGACTTGACGACACAATAAAACAATAGATACTAATTAATATATCATCTGAGGTATAAACACCACATACCGCAGTACAAGAACCTCAGATTAATTACTATTTATTTTTGAAAAGAACATAATAGCATTCCAGTAGATATAGCACAAACCGTTACGGTTCTTTGCTCCTTAATCTAAGTTCTTATAGGCTAAACCTATGTGGTGGGGGAAAAAGGGATTGTTAGTAATGGAGACTAAGAATCCCATTGCTAGCAATATATCTAACCAGGTCGACCTTCTCGCGGTTCCCCTGGAAACTATCATGATTAATTCCTGATGAATTCATCATGATGGGCTAACTGGCCTGTTTTCATCCTCATCGATCACCCTTCACTGGTGCCCCGCCAGCGTATCCCATTAGCGCAGGCGGGGTCTCCATACCACTCCATTTTCATCCAATAAAAAAAAAACCTATGTGTTTCTAAATTCTATCTCTACTATTGGATTTTTTAATTATTTTTTAGTGTAACTCGACCTTGACGAATCCAAAATATTGTTGTCGTTGAATAATTTAACGTACACTCAAGCACGGCGGATTTATAATTTAGAAATTGGACGAAAGGAAAGGAAAATTCTTAGAATGTTTTTTCGTTATAAAATATTCCACTGTCACATACATAGAAGCGAAACAACGCAAACTCTTTGCAAAAAAAATCTTAAAGTTATGTTAAAAGTTTTTGGAACTGGCCACTAACCAAAAAATTATTCTACTTTTTGAAAATGGAATTCTCTGGTATCAAAATAATCTTGCAAAGATTAATCTATAAATAGTATTATTACTTATTCTGTGGTATAAGTGATGTCCTCTCTTTTTCAAATATATATCTTTTTGGAAAAGGAACACAACGTAACGTCAGCTACAGTGTTTTGTTTAATTAACCAAGTACTTAATATACTTGGCATAATTGATACTATATCAAGTACTGAGTACTGTAACTTCGTATATGTAGAAATTTCTGTTGTAAATAGCATTCTAACATCAACTGCCATAGCAGCGGCTGTGATAGCGGGAATAATTAATCCGTGTGAACGCTTATAACCACAAAACCCACTCTTGCTTTAAATACATGAAGAGCTACCTATATGAGGCGTAGTTTAATACACTTCAAAGCCAGATTATCTGTAATTATCTTTACATATAACAAAATAGTAACGAAATCAAAATTCAATTTTAAATATTTTTAAAAATACAGTTTATAAGTATATATTAGAATTAAAAACGAAAGTTTATAAAAATTGCTTTGTAATACTTGAATGTGTTTTAATGGGTGAAAATGGAATATTAAACCTCACCTGTGTTATCGGTATACACTGGCCAAGTAGCAGTGAAAAATGATAGGTGAAAATGAAAGCAGGTCAATTAGCTCATCGTGACGAATTCCATAATACTTAACCACGATTTCCGGGGGGAACCGGGTGGAGGTCAACCTGTTATAATAGTTGCTAGCAATGGGGCTGTTAGATCCAAATTACTAACAACCTACCCCTTGAAGTTGTAAATACGAGTACAGAGTTTTAACATCATGTGGTAACATTACCATATGATGTAAAGTCGCCCTGAGTAATTATGACGAAATTTTCACAGTATATTACGTTAAATGTAGGTTAATATATAAGCTATATAAATAAATAAATATATATATATTAATGGACGTAAGAACGAAACACTTCAGCAATTTAAATAGGTTAACTAAATATTTAACGTATTTTCGAACAATGCCGACAGTGCGCTATCTTTTTGCAGGTGTAATGGAATTCCCGAACCTTTCATATTAAATGATCAAGCGGCCGCTAGATTCGTATCAATATTTTTTTTATATCCGACCTTCGTCAGGGAAAAATGTTCAGTTTCATTAATATTATCCTTACAATGCTGTTATCTTAAGAAAAAAAAGTACGCCTAATAATTCGATTATATAAGATACAAGAAAAATAAACATTATGCTTTGATTTTATTGATAAAAGAAAAGCTTCTCAATTCGTTCCTAACTTTTTTTTATATGTAATGTCGTCACTAATTTTGAAACAAATTTAAATAATTGTTCTTTTTGAACAAAAACGTTTACTCTCATACTTGTACTGACTTGGTCAAAATTGAAACAGTCTTACAAGTATACTACAATGGTGGCAAAGAAGCATACGGCTCGTCTGAGGACGAAAAAATCTATTATATTTTGTAGGTAATAGAATATTAAAAAACATTACCTATAGCCCTTCAAACACATATTTTTGTTAAAATAATCTTTACCTAAGAGCAGCATAATATAACTGCTTATATATCCTGTCATACTCAGTAGCTATGTCAGTTGAGAACTCTCCGCCAATAACTGGTAAATTACTAAGTGGTTTCAGTAATTAGCAAACACTAATGGTAAGGTCATTAACACTTGCGTGCATTTTGCAAAAAAAAAAAACGTTACAACCGCAAAACAATGTCTGAGAACAGGTTAAGTTTATACCTTATGCGCATAGTTATACAATATTAATTACATTAGCAATTATTACATTAAAAAAGGTTATCTATTTATATTAAAGATAAACAATTATTACAAATAAAAATTTATATTTTTTTTCATATGTTATTTGTTTACGGGATATGGAAAAATTAATTTAAATAAAAACTTTCTTACTTTACTGATTAACATTTTTAAAATTTATAACTAAACAACATCAATGAAATGTTTCATTTTTATATAATATTTATCTACCTGTAAATATTCCTAATAAAATAATAAAGGTACAATAAACGAAATTAACTAACTGACACAGCTAGATCCAGGAATATTTTGTATAAGAGGGAATTTCCTGGAATTCCCACAGGAACAGAAAAAAGCAAACATATTAACATTAACGTAATTCATAAACAAATAATAAAAAAGTAATATATTTTATAGAATTTTTATATGTATAATTTGATGTAATAAATAGCTTTAAATAAGTAACAGCAAAACTGATGAAAAATATTACAAGTAATAAAACTGTAGGTTTGTTTTATGTTTGTCATAAAAGCTCTCCCTGCTGAAATTGAAAAATAATTGCTACGGATGTACATAAAACATGACTACCTCCTAATTTGAAATACTAAAAATAAACATTCATTACTTATATCTCTCATTACAGTTTATATTTAGAATACAAAAATAAAAACATAAAAATAAGAACTTACCGATTAAACCGGGAACCGGGATAACTTGCAAAATAATTTCAAAAATCAAATAAAAAACATTAAAGCATCTTCAATTCTCTAGCTGTACACAGGAAAACTCAGTCTTATTTTGTTTTTAAAAATTGAATTTCGAACAGTTTTATTTTCATTTACTTCGCAGCAAAGGAATCGTAAGTCGCGTGCTGGAAACGAAAGTGCGACGAACTGCGCGAGCTTCGGCGAGTAAAGGCGACAACACACTGTGAGAGCGGTGGCAGGCTGCGCCAGTGCCCCCTCCGGCTATCACTCTACTTTCGGTTATTCTCTCGCCTCCCCCGAGACCGAGACCGATTTATCACAGTTCCGTATCGTGTTAGCTCGCAGACAATCCAGAGTTGACACTAGTGGTATGGCACAGAATCATTCTTATACGAATCCTCACTAACCACTATTCGCAAATCCGACGAAGTATCTCTGACCGCACAATGTCACCGGTAATGACTAAATCGCTACAAAAAAGGCTAACCCAGATTATTATTGTTCCAAAAATAGCAAGACAATTGTAATTACAGTTAAACATCTTAATTTTCTAGCAAAAATATAAAATAGTACCTATTTATAATATTACGTTATATATATGCTATAGATAATATTACGTTACCAGTAATATTTACAATTTACTTATCTCATCAACCAACTTCAAAGAAACAATGAGATTCTCAATTCGGTCATTTTTTTTTTACTTTAGAACGCCATCATTTATAAACCAATTTGAAATTTGTTATCTGACAGGATATAGGTACTTACAAATTAATTAATATGTTAGTTTTTACTAATATATCAAAGTGACTATTTTCGCCACTTAGTTGAGGTCGGGTTGTTATTTTGTGGGACAAAATCTATTATACAACCTAAGTATAGTTAATTAATCTAATGTAGTCGAAATAAGATTCAATTCAAGTTATTATATTTACCATATAATATTTCCGTTACATTGCCGTGTATAGAATAGGCCACCCCTTCCTTTCCCTTGGGTGTCATAAGAGGCGAATAAGGGAGAGCGAGGAATGGCCAGCAGCGTCCTTCTTAAAACATCTCCAAAGCCTAACTGCAGTTACCAATCCGCCTGCCAAGCGTGACAACTACTATCAAAACCTCCCAAGGGGGAGGCTTATGTTCCGCAGTGGACAGTTAAAGGCTGATATGATAATGATGATGATATCCTTAACATGAATCATAGATACAGATATTTTATTGTTTCTATATGAGAAATAGGGGCTGAACGAATTTTAATAAAACTTCGCATAACTAATAATTACCAAAGGCCAAATCATATAAGAATATCTAATATTATTTTTAAAATAAAAAATATCTCGTTCACTGAATACTACAATACACTGATATAGGGAAAAAAGGATTGTTAATAATGAAATCTAACTAACCCAATGGGGGGGAAGGAATTGTTAGCAATGGAGTTTGACAGCCCCATTACTAGCAATATGCCTTATTAGGTTTTATTAACAATTCTTGTTGAATTCGTTACGATGGCCTAACTGACCTGCTTCATCCTCACCTATCATCCTTCAATGATGCCCCGCTGGTGTATACCGATAGCGCGGGTGGTGTTACCATTCCATTATCATCCATTAAAAAAAAACTAACCCATTGTTAGCAATATATGGATTTTTTTATGGGTGAAAATAGTATGCTAACCCCGCCTGCACTAACAGGATACGATGGCGGAGCACCAGTGAAGGATGATAGATGAGAACGAAAACACAATATACCCAACCAGGTCGACCTCCTCGCGGTTCTCCCTGGAAACTATTATGGTTAATTCCTGATGAATTCATCATGATAGGCTAACTGGCCTGTTTTCATTCTTATCTATCTCCCTTCACTGGTGCTCCACCAGTGTATCCCGTTAGCGCAGGCGGGGTTACCATACCATTTTGCTGCCCATACCTTGACCATTAAGGCCAATTCTACGCCAGGGCCACACGACCTTGTACCCATTCATAAATATATAAATTACCACACGAAATATCAAACATAGGTACTCTAACTTAATAAATATAACTCACATAAGAAATATAATCACGACCCAATTTCTTGGGCAAGTATTCTATTATTGCGATGTAAACATCTATGGAGAAATGTCAATTTCTCCGAATGGATTAGTCAAGTGGAATATATCATAATAAATTTAGTTGTAACCATTTCGATAGGCGAACACGACAGCTTGAAATATCGACAAAGCATGTCATCTTCAAACACTCAACTTGACAATGAAATGCATAATTATAAATGTGAAGTCATTGTTCTTAATGACCGATCAAGACTTTCTTTTTATAGATTAATTATGTATGATACTAGTAACCCGCCCCGGCTTAGCATGCTTTTTATAAATAAAATACAGCCCATATACTTCTAGGGGGGAAAGGGATTGTTAGTAATGAGGTCTAATAACCCCGTTGCTAGCAATTGACCCTATCAGGTTGACCTCCACGCGGTTCCCTCTGAAAACCATCATGGTTAATTCTTGTCGAATTCATCATGGTGGGCCAACTGACCTGCGTTCATTCTCACTTATCATCTTCCACTGGTGCCCCGTCGGTGTATACCGATAGCGCGGGTGGGGTTACCATTCCATTTATATCTATTAAAAAAAAAGTCTATGTACTTCTTAATTAGGTAGCTTTCTATTGATGAAACAAATTTTGAAAATTGGTTTATTATTTTTTTAAGTTTATCCATCATACAAATTCACTACTTAACCGTGATGGTTTCTAGAAACAACCATATGAAAGTCGAATAGTATAATATTGCTAGCAATGAAACCGCTCATTTCCTTTACCTCACTTTAAGTGAGATAATATATATATATATATACACGTCTCTAAGAGTCATTATTTAAATATATAAAAATGTCTATTTATCTATTTATAAAAACGCCAACAGCATATTGCATTATAACATATATAACAAACATTAAATACAATACAATATTAATGCACGTGTCTATTTAAAGTATTCACAGCAATTCCTTTAACATAGCTATACCATATAGTGAAATGAAATAAACAACTTTAAGGAATTAAGTAATATTAGACTACTAATACTTTAAAAGTTACATTATTAGGTATAGAAATATATATATAATATAACTGAAGTTGTGAACAATATCAGTAAATACGATGATCAGTGAATTAACAACTATTAAAATATATATGTATATATTTTTATAATTAGAGTTACTCATTACTAGATTATTGTACAAAGTATTTCAGTAATTTATTTTTCTAGGTATTCGGACTACCATGCATAATATCAGTTTCAGGTAAATATTATATTATTGTTTATGTAATGTCTAAATACTACGTAAACAAGCCACTACGTTTCCCAGAAACATCAAAAAAATAAATGCTATAAAACCACAGAATCATGTGCCCTTCATCTAAAATTTAAAGCAACCGGCAACTAATTGCTGGCAAAATCGTGAATTCACAAAAAGTCGACAGCAGACTTCAAGTCGGACGAGTTACGGGGGGCGCTCACCTGAATTTTTGATCAGAAAAACAGATCTCGCCGTCCCTGGTGTAATCCGGACATTATAAATCGATGACTTGGCATTTTTCGCCGCTCAGCCTTTTTCAAAACAGATACATGCGATTTTTATGCCAGTTATATTAGATAGCTGTACCCGCGATTTCCTTAACGCGACCGGGGCGTATTGATTGGCAGAAATAAAATGTATTTTATGGTTTTCTCCTTATCAAATATCGGTTGATATGTGAAGGAATCAGAAGGTAACAATGATATAAACAGATAAACTCATTTCCACATTTTTAATATTAACTGGCTCTATGCCATGGATTTACTCGAATGAATTAAGATAAAAACTAGTTTCTGTGTTAATCTATGACATGTTTTATTTCATATAACTTATTACACGTGTTAAACGTTGTAATCATTCAAGAATATCAACGTCTTTTTAAATTTAAATATTTAAATTATTCTTTGGACATGTTGAATCAAAAATTGTGAATTAGATAGATCGATAAAAGATTCTTAGTGATAATGTAGGATTAAATAAATAGTAACGAAACCGCAATCAACTAAAAACCAAAGGATGGATGAATCAAGATCAGTTTTCTTTTACACCTAAGCAATAACAAAAGTTATTTGGTAACTGAAAAACCAAAGGTATCATAAACTCAGTTATGCAAGGCACGTCTGGGGTGAAATATATGTAAATTAGAGAGCTCGAGAACGTGCCCCTGTAATTCACAGATTTATTGGAACAGGTTGGTACTATTGCAAATAACAGAGGCTACATTTGATTGTGCTTCTTATGATTTGTTCGAAGAAACTTAACTTGTTACCTAATTTCTCTTTGATATCATATAATTGGCATTATATTGAACAACTACCAAACCTAGCAAATGTTATTTTAACCCCTACCCCCCTTTACTGGATTAAATTTTCTTATTACATTAAAAACTATCCTCGAGTAAGCGCAGACAATACATATTTACAAAATTTTATTATTATTGCTTAAGTGGTTTTGTAGATTGGCGTCAACAAGTATTCTCATCTTTAATGTCTGATATATTATTAATTATGCTTTCTTTTTTTATAAATAATATATAAATTTTATACGTTTTTAGTTGCCTTTTACGATATCCTGGAGATGGAAATGGCTATAATGTAGTGATTATTTACTCTGTGGAAACGACAATAAAAGGTAACATACTGTAATTATATTACCAATACGCTATTATAATTTTATTTTGTTTAATATTATTTTATTACGGAATTTAACGTTCTACTTGCTTTTACCTACGACTTTATAAGCGTAACTGGAATATGTCAATTGACTACTATAAATAGTAATATATATCCTTCTCCATCCCAAATAATAAATATATATTAAATTTCATTACGATTGGTTAAATAGTTATGACGCTATAAAATAACAACAAACTCACTTTTTCAATTATAATTTTATGAAGAATAAATATAGTGCAAGTGCACTCACTCAAAGTTCTTGAAAAGGCGCACAAAGCTGTTCATTTCAGACTTACTTATATATCATATAGTTGATCGATGTGGTTAATAAACGAGGTGGTTTGCTTTGAAGCATATAAAGTATGTTCGGGTATTTAACAGAAAACGATATCTTTCACCTCATGTTATACTGTTAAAATAAATTGGAAACTTACTTAAAAAAAATTGATCTTCTTAAATTAAAAAAAAAAAACAAAAAGGA